TTGGAGAAATGTAAGTTTATATGTCAGGATAGTCCAATATGGGCAATTAACAAATCATTAAGCAATTGACTTGTGACTCCAACATCACAGTTTGCTGTAACTAACGAACCGAACGAGCCTCAGCAATTCAGAACCATGCACTGGAACGGCAACTTGTTTTTCCCTTGTTATGACTCTGATCACTCCCTTTTGCAGATATTCCTCCCAACGTAAAATCATAAATAATTTTGTTTGACGTTGGTTCCTTTTTATTGCTCCTTACATGGTCCTCTCACATCGCTCCATGTCAATGCTCCTACATCAAGAGAAGCAAACGGGGCTTCACTTCGGATTAAAATATATGATGTGCTCATTCTTCTCTTCCTTGATGAAATGTTTATGCGGACTACTTTTCCGTCCCATATGGCACCTTTATCTTAAGGTCGAGGATATTTGTCAGAAGAATTCGAGATCACACCATTGACCAGAGATATGTATATCAGGCGCACATACATATATGTTATCGAAATCCCACTTGGTATATCAATTAAAAGTGCATTCGCGCATAGAAAAAGGTGCATAATTTGCCTAGCATGTTATTGTACACTCAATCAACCACTCTTTGTTATTTACAAAAAAAACATCTCATTTAATCGCGTGCAAAGGGCGTAAATCCTGCGTGAGATTAGTGAGTTTTATACTGTGAGGGGAGGGATATGGTGAAAAAGAAACTGGAAAAGGGAGCTTTAAGCTGTAATTTGTCATTGCAAATAAAGTATCCCCCAGTTTCAGGGGGTTCGGAAAAGCACCCATACGTACTCTTTGTCGAGCACCATGCGTTCCCGTGCAAATGGAAAGACGAAATTTAACTTGTAAATATGTAGGCTTAATTTATAAAAATAAATTTTTTAGAATGTTTTTATGTTTGATTTTTATGCCAGGATGCGTAAACTTTTCCTTAACCTCCAACCCAGCATCACTTCATGCTCTGTGTCTCACACAAAAGTCTCCGTAGCATAACGTAGAACTGTAAGTCTTCATAACTCCCTCAACCATATTCACCGAACACTCTTATGCCAAAAAAGCAAGAAAAAGAAAGAAGAATAATTACCTAACATTGGCATTATCTTCTTCTCTAACCTTTCTACCCATTTCTCTTCCCTATAAAATCTCCCAACCCTCTCGTTTTTCCATCTGAACCCTCTCAAGGAGTCTTCTCCCTCTTAAACTGCCATTCGGAACGACGTCGTCTATGGACCTCCCCTTGTTTAGCCGCTCTCAGCTGGAGCTCCTCCACCTGCCACATCCCCACTTATCCGGTCCCACCCTCGGCGAACTCCTCAAACGCGTCGATGATGCACAAAACGACACCCCTCCCCACCGTATACTCCACCTCGCTCCCCCTCCTTCCTCTTACCCATTCATTCTTTCCTTCACCAACTTAACTTACAGCGTCAAAGTCCACCGCAAAATGACCCTCCCTCAAAACCACGTCGTTTCGGAACATCGCAATGCCGGTAAGGGCACCAAGATTCTACTCAATAACATCTCAGGCGAGGCCAGAGACGGACAAATCATGGGCGTGCTCGGTGCCAGTGGGTCTGGCAAATCCACCCTCATCGATGCCCTCGCCGATCGAATCTCCAAGGACAGCTTAAAAGGCTCGTCACCTTAAACGGTGAGGCTTTGGAGTCCAGACTTCTCAAGGTCATTTCCGCTTACGTCATGCAAGATGACCTTCTCTTCCCCATGCTCACAGTGGAAGAAACTCTCATGTTCTCCGCCGAGTTTCGCCTCCCTCGCTCCCTCTCTGCCTCAAAGAAGAAGGCCAGAGTCCAAGTGCTCATTGACCAGCTCGGCCTCCGGAACGCAGCCAAAACAGTAATCGGAGATGAGGGCCACCGTGGCGTCTCCGGCGGTGAAAGGCGTCGAGTCTCTATCGGAATCGACATCATCCACGACCCGATCATTCTGTTCCTCGATGAACCTACTTCTGGACTGGATTCCACTAGCGCATTCATGGTTGTTAAGGTCTTGCAGCGAATCGCTCAGAGTGGGAGCATCGTCGTCATGTCCGTACACCAACCAAGTTATAGGATCCTCGGCTTATTAGATCGTTTGATTTTTCTCTCTCGTGGCCAAACCGTATATACCGGCTCTCCTGCGAATCTCCCGAGCTTCTTCTCGGAGTTCGGTCACCCGATACCCGACAAGGAGAACCGGACTGAGTTCGCACTGGATCTTATTCGTGAGCTCGAAGAATCACCAGGTGGGACCCAGAGTTTAGTGGAGTTCAACAAATCGTGGCAGTTAAATGCGGCGAAAAATAAACCAGCCACCAACCGATTCTTCACCGGAACTCTCAAGGACGCCATTGCCGCCAGCATTTCCAGAGGTAAATTAGTGTGCGGTGCACCGCATCATTCCAACGTCACCGCGTCGTCGGTTCCGAAATATGCTAATCCATTTTGGATGGAGATGATGGTGATAGCGAAACGATCGCTCACCAATTCCAGAAGAATGCCAGAACTATTCGGAATCCGACTCGGTGCGGTTCTCGTAACCGGAGGTATCTTAGCCACCATCTTCTGGCATCTGGATAATACTCCTAAAGGCGTTCAAGAACGCCTCGGTTTCTTCGCCTTCGCAATGTCCACCACCTTCTACACCTGCGCCGAGGCCTTCCCCGTCTTTCTCCAAGAGCGATACATCTTCATGAGAGAAACTGCTTACAATGCATACCGGCGTTGGTCCTACGTGCTAGCCCATTCCATAATCTCAATCCCCTCCTTGGCTGTCCTCTCTGCAGCATTCGCCGCCACCACATTCTGGTCGGTGGGTCTGGCCGGCGGGAGCTCCGGCTTCCTGTTCTACTTTCTCGTAATGTTCGCGTCCTTCTGGGCGGGAAGCTCCTTCGTGACGTTCCTATCGGGGATAGTGTCGCATGTGATGTTGGGATTCACTGTGGTGGTGGCAATTCTAGCATACTTCCTTCTGTTCAGCGGATTCTTCATAAGCAGAGACAGGATGCCACTGTACTGGATATGGTTTCATTACATGTCGCTGGTGAAGTACCCGTACGAGGGGTGTTGCAGAACGAGTTCGGGATGGAGCCGCCGAGGGTTTTGTGAGGGGGACACAGATGTTCGACAACACGCCGTTGGGGGAGGTGACGACGTCGTTGAAGGTGGAGTTGCTGAAGAGCATGAGCAAGACGCTGGGGATGAGCATAAACAGCGAGACGTGCGTGACCACGGGAGCCGATATACTGAGGCAGCAGGGGATTACGGAGCTCAGCAAGTGGGGATGCTTCTGGGTAACGCTTGCTTGGGGATTTTTCTTTAGGTTTTTGTTCTACTTGACGCTAGTGTTTGGAAGCAAGAACAAGAGGAGTTAAACTTAAATGTCCATGATCAGTGCATTAACTCCATCTTGTTCTCTCTGTTTCCTAATTCAAACAAACAAAATAAAGAAAGCTAAGAGGGTCGTCTAAGCACTTTCTAGTTTTAATTGATTGGCTACGTGCATGGAATTTGGCCTGTAACGCGCCCTCTGATCCGCTGAATGTAGAGAAAACCGAATAGAATGTCGCAAATTGAAAACTAGATGAAAAAAATGGAATAACGTTGAATAAAATACTATCTTCGATTTTAATTATAAGGGCTCATTTGTAGAATGTATTATAATTAGGAGTGGAGGAGATAGTAATATAATAAATCGTGTGTCATCGGATCATTCGAGATGCAAGGTGAGAGGAAAAAATAAAAGTTCCTTGTTTCTAATCTGCGAAAAATTGAATTGAATGAAAGGACTTGTATCCTTTTTTTTTTTTCTATGCTGTTGTCCTTAAAATAAAACAAAACGAAATTATATGTATATCAGGTTATAACTTATAAGCTATTCCATTTTTAAATCAGTCTTGAATAGTTTTTTTATTTATTAAGCACGTGTCTACGCTTTTAGCGGACAAAACCGGATGGTCGGGCTGTCATTTGAACTCGCTAGGGCTTGATTTAAACTATAAAATCCTTTTTATGGTGGATGGGGTTACGCCGGAGTTGAGCCGTGGTTGAATGAAAGCCAACATTACTAATACACAGTATTGACGATTGCCTTTCGAACTCCGTTTCACTAAAGAACCCTGAGTTCTCACATTTGAGAATACCCCTACCACGATTTGAAAAGTTGAACTGTTAAATGCTAATGCTGCATATAAACGGAAGCAATGATATACGTTTTTCTGTCCTTGCAAAACAAGGGAATTCGGCATAATCACCATTAGTCATATAAAAATGGGCTGGGCCGCCAATTTCCGGGGCTAAAATTACTGAAAGCCTGTTGACACCAGGAATGATGCTTTCTTAAAACACGTCGCGGGATTCAAGGGGGCCCTTGGATCATAATAGTGGTATCCTGGCCGTCCAAGTATGTCGGTACATCCTATAAATAGCAAACACATCATTCTGATCCTTAAGGTCAAGGGTTTGAGATTGCAACCGTCGTCGCTGGAGTGAATTATCCCTGGTGCGAGATTTCTTATCATTTGTTATTTGTTAATCTATCTGTCTTTTCTCGACCTGGCTCTTGATTCGATTGTATCTTGGATTCATGCTGTTCTTGAATTTCTGGATCTCGCGTTCGCTTGTCTACGCAAGTGAATTTTGCTATTGCATCAACCACTGTTTCTAGTCACCAATCTCCCTTCTTTGGGGCATATTCATATTCCAGTTTACACCTCTATATCGCACTTGTTATTTTGCCTGCGACTTTGGATGCAAAATTGTTCTGGGCTGTTTTAGAAAATTGGCGGAAAGATAGTGCCTCTTTTGAAATTGAACATGGCATAAGTTGACCACATCGTTCAGTATCTGAAGTATTTCTCGCGTGTGATCTGTTTCTTTGTATGATCTCATGCTTTTATTAAGCAAGTTCATTTATTTTCGTGTCATTTAACAGCAACAATGCCGCGCTACGATGATAAATATGGCAACACTCGTCTCTACGTGGGCCGTTTGTCGTCAAGGACGCGTTCGCGTGATCTGGAGCGACTCTTTAGCCGTTATGGAAGGTAAACATTATTTTAATCTTGTTCACGATCCAGAATTAATAGCCATTGTTGCAAGCAGTGAACTTGTCCATCGATATAATACGATATGAGGGATCATGCTGTTATTTATTTACTTTTTCCCAAACCTCTTGTTTTGCTGGGAGCCCCTCAATTAAATTTTTACAAAGGTCATTTGTATTGCCAAATATGTTTTTATTCTATTAGTGACTTTTTATAATAATTGCTGAGATCGTGTTTTCTTTCTGAGAGTTGGCCTTGTTTTTCGAAAGTTAAATATATTCAATAGGTGCCAATTTATACATGGTTTAAAGAATCTAATTTTTTTCTGCCTGGTTCATAGTTAATCCTTTCTGTGAATTGACAAGCGAGCTAATTGAGTGGTTAATTGGTGTGGGATTGGGGCCATCTTTTGCCCTGAAAATTAGGGCGTTATATACAGGTTTTGCCAAGCTTTTTTGTATGCTTGGTTTTATATTAGTGGAACCCTATTCCCTAGGTGTCGTGTTTTTAACTTGAATGATCTTGTTGAAGGTTTCTGGGGTTTTGCCTAAACCTGGAGGTCTATGGTGAGAGGGTGGCCTTGGTGGAATTGGTGGAAATTCCTGCTGAGTGTTGACTTTGGCGATTCTTTCTGTAATGTTATTGCGTGTTTTTATGGAAATGGCAACAATCACAAACTGGTGTTTTGTTCGTCTTTGAGGGGCGAAGTATCATACTCTAGCAGTAGTTAAGTAATGATGGCCTTACTGTTTCTGGAAACCATTTACGCAGAATTCGAGATGTGGATATGAAGCATGATTTCGCCTTTGTTGTAAGTTGTCAGTCTTTGCTCTGCTTTTATTTAATTCTTTTCGCTATGATTTCTTCTTGTTTGGGGGAATGAATTGTTGACGGTGGTGAAAATTCTGTGTTACTTCCATTGTTTGTTCCTCACATCCTTAATACAGGAGTTTAGTGATTACCGAGATGCTGATGATGCAAGATATAACCTAGATGGCCGTGATGTTGATGGCAGTCGAATCATTGTGGAGTTTGCAAAAGGGGTAAGCACTAATTGCATCAACTCTTTTCATGAATGATAAATGTCATGTCTCATTGGTGCCTTAGTTCTCATATGTCTGGTTCCCAAAAAAAGAGGAGAGACAGAAAGGAACTCACGGGGATATAATAAACTGTATGTTGAGTTGTTGCTTCTTGCTGCCTCGATCTCTATGCCTGTAGTTTTTGTTTAACTTTGTTTAGCTGAATATTTTTAACTTACATAGTATCAATTGCTTCAAAATCTTTTTTTTAAAAGAAAAGAAAAGAAAAAAAGGAACTTGATATCATTGTTGTTGTTTGTTGGCTGATTGGATTGTTACCTTACTTACCTTAACAATCAGGTGCCTCGTGGATCTCGAGAATATTTAGGTAGAGGTCCTCCCCCTGGTTCAGGACGCTGTTTTAATTGTGGCCTTGATGGCCATTGGGCTCGAGATTGCAAAGCGGGGGACTGGAAGAACAAGTGTTACCGCTGTGGAGAGAGAGGCCATATAGAACGAAACTGCAAAAACAGTCCGAAGAAGCTGAGGTAGGGCTGTGTAATGCTGCATTATCTATTGATCTTAATATTAGTTTAATTTATGCTGACATTTTTCTTGTTTGTCCTGCAGGCGTGGCCGTAGTTATTCACGTTCACCTTCTCCCCGTCGAGGCAGAAGCCGTGATCGAAGTTATAGTCGTGACCGAAGCTACAGGTTGGATTATTTTAGTCCTTACATGTATTAGATAAAAAGGGTGTAAGCTGCTTTAGCTTCAATGTTTCAAAAGTGGTTCTGTGGCCATTAATTTGTAGGCATGCTAATTCGTCTTGTTTATGTATCTCCATGGTAAATTTGATCTACCTATTGACAAATCTTTTTTTGGTGAATACCTAATTGACAAATCTATTGAATGATAAAGTTGCACAACCTGTAGTAATATACGGTAGAAGAAATAAGCAAGAGCGGAAGACATTGTTTCTCTAGTTAAATTCTATCTGCATCATGTGGAATCTTTTGAAGAATGTGTTTGCAAACATTTTGTTCCACCGCAGTTCAGTGTGCAAGAATCCTGTTCTTATGGTTTTTTTGGTTGCTTTTGTATTTTGGCAGCCGATCAAGGTCCCCAGTCAGGAGAGAACGGAGCCCAGTTCGTGAAGATAGGTCATTGAGTCCTCGATACAGAAGCCCAGAACCCAGAGACAGCCCTCCACCCTCGAAGACAAGGAATCGGAGTCTGACTCCTGATGAGGGCAGTCCGCGAGGTGAGGCTTCTCCTCGTAATGGCCGGCTGGGTGCCCGGCAGGATGGATCTGACTACAGTCCCAGAGACAAGAGCAGAAGCCCCGCAAGTAGCCCCGCAAGGGACAACTATGTTAGCCCTAAAGCTAATGGTCGCAGCCGGAGTGCTAGCCCGAAGGATGACCGAAGCCCCATTGAAGATGATGATGATGCCCGCCATTCTCCTCGAGGCAGCGAGTCACCTTAAGATGTATTCAGTGGTGTAAGAAGACAGGCCTAGTATTTTATTATTTATTATGTAGCGGTTTGATGATTAGCTGTCCGCCTTGTGCAACTCTGACGGGCATAACTTGTGTTTATGGTTTTATGAAGGGACAGTTCTGTTATTTATGTCGCTCCGCTGGTTCTTATTGGGTGCGATAAATGTTGGCGGTCACTTGAATTATGGGGGGGTATACAAATATACAAATACGATGCCAGAATTTTGCCAGAACCATCATGTCACCGTGAATCAAGCGTGCGCGGGGAGTCCGTTGCTCGTCTTAGGTTTCATGTGGACAGAGTATTTACTTTATATTTTATAAATTATAATTAAAGAGTTATTTATAAGTCAAGTTTGAAGGTGATTAAAATTATGGTATTGTGGGTGAGGTTGAGATGTCCTCATTGAAATTTGCCTGGCACGGACACTTATTAGATATTACCGTTTTGTTTTTGTTTTTAATTGTCACTTATAGCAGGGGTTTTTGGCCTGTGCTCATTAATTAATGGAGATAAATCTAAAAGTGAAGAGAAAGAAAATGAGTGAGAAAAAATATAATAGTTATTATTTAGTAAAGGTAAAAATGAAAGATTTAATGTATTTAATAATCTTATTGTTATGTGAGAAATTGACCAGAGTGATAAATATTATGATCGCCAAAAAAATATTTAATACTCCTCCGGTCCTTATTATAAGACCCAATTTGACTTTTTATTTGGTCTTAATTATAAGACCAAATCCATTTTGTCTCCTATATTTATGCATTTTTTTCCAACATAATCCTTATAATAATGATAGTTTTAGCCAATATACTTAATTAGCAAGGATATTTTAAGAATGACAACACTTATTTATTATAAATAACCAACTTAACTTACTTCCTTAATCTCCTCAAATAAGTCAATTGGGTCTTATAATTAGGACCGGAGGAGTATTAGTGTTTAGTATAAATGCAAAACGTAGAACTTAAAATAAGTTCATGCTACTTTTTTGTGACGATAATGCTATTCACTGTTGTGAAATGTTCACAATGTCCTCGGACTAATATTTGAAGGTATTATCCAGCGTGCTGTAATTGATGTTATTTTGTTGAGTCTATTGAATTAATCACAATGTGATATTTTTGTCGCCGAAAAAAAATCTGCTTTGTACCCTTTCCTGAGAAGGCGCACGAGTGAAAGGGAGCGCGAAACGCAGCAGCGCATCGGTAGTCTTATCTGCGTCCTTATTATGGTTCTTATTGGGTTCTTCATATCTATCTCTGACTGGGAATCTTAAATTGAAGTTATGTCTCTGCGCCTCACTTTCCCCTCTCCCTCCGCAGTCTGCTCGGCGGCGCGTTCTCCCCGGCTGCCCTCTAAGAAGACGACACTTGATAAAAAGCAGAGCCTCACCACCTTAGGCTTCGGCGGCGACAAGAAACATGAACTATGGCGTTGCGTTGAGGGTTGTGGGGCCTGCTGCAAGCTCCAGAAAGGCCCTTCGTTTGCCTCTCCTGAAGAAATTTTTACGCGCCCTTCTGATGTTGAGGTTTGCTTCTCCTTTCACTTCTCCAGCTTTTTGCTCCTTCCGGGCTTCAGAAAATTCAAAAAGCCTCGCCTCTTGACCACACACTTCCCTTCCATTCTTCTTTTGATCAATTTCAGCTCTATAAAAGCTTGATAGGTCCAGACGGATGGTGTGTTCATTTTCAAAAGAGCACTCGAACTTGTTCCATTTACGCTGGTAAAACCACGCATCCCCCTCACGCTGTTCATTAGGCTGATGTCAGTTTTAACTTTGAGTGTGGCTGTGCGCCTCTTTGTTCTCCAGATCGTCCGTACTTCTGTCGCGTAGAGCCAGATATATTCGAATCTTTATACGGAATACACAGAAAAAAATTCAACAAGGAGGCCTGCAGGTTCGATATCTATTTTCTCATTTATTTACCCAATAAGTGAGCACTTCTCGTGAAATCCTTCAATTTTCTCTCTGCAGTAGCTGCAGGGACACCATTAAGGCAATTCATGGCTCCAATTCGGAGGAACTACGCAATTTCAATTACTCAATAAGGAGCTCTTCTAGTTAGTTTTTAAGACTTGCGCATTGTTACTGCTCCAGCTCTTTTTCGTTGCTGTTCATTCTTAAAGCTGCTGGACTTTTCTGGTTTGAGTGCTCACAGATGATTCGAAACAACTACGACAACCAGAGATAGGGAAATCGTTATATTTCATAGTATTCCGATGAACAAGAAACATCGTAATGCCAGAATAGCCACGCATTTACATGAAATTCCACATTGTCCTCTTTTCCCCCATACGTGTTCTGGGGAATTTTCGCTGCACTTCAATGCAGCAGTATAGACTATAGAGTTCTTCATTGTGTAATGGTGCATTATAATATGTGATGAGAAAAAGGTTTTATCAATGATCGAGCGCATTGCTGCCGGGAAAGCCATATCATTTTACTATTGTTTTTGGTCCTAAACTCCATTTGCTGAGGTGCCTTAAAGCAGAGTCGGTAAATAACTTCCGTTGGTGCTGGAAGGTGACTAATCTAAATTTGTGAGGTGAAGATACTGAATTTTGCTTGATTGTTGAGCAGTAGCCAGTAGGCACCTATTCATGACATTTTTACATGGGTATCAACATTTGCACAATGCTTCTCACTTATCATCTGTTAGATGATAGAGCCAAGGCCCAGTTCAGCTTCAATGTCATCTCCATCTTCAAATAATTTTACAAACCGAGCCTGCTCCTTCTCCCTCTTCTTCTTTTGCCAGTACTTGTATGAAGCCACCATTCCGATTATAAGCATAGCTGTTATTGAAGAACTTAGCAAGACCACGACTGCTATTTGCATTCCTTTTCCACTATCATGCACTTCAGATGCTGGGCTAGACACTACACACGTTAAGAAAATTATTGTTACTAGCGCTGAAATGAAGTACCAAAGCGCGCTAATTCAGAAGACAAAACCTAGGAAAATTGGTTCAGAAATGCAACTAAGTGTAGCAAATCTTACCCTGGGATGCCTAATCATCCCTCATAGCGAGGAGGCAAGAAATAACATGAGAAAATGTGGGGACCTAAGGTAACAACCTCATTGAAGAGATTGGCATACAACTATGAAAACCAGGAAAAAAACATATACATTATTTCTTAAATAATGTTAATTGCTCTTTTCTGAAATAAATCCTGAAATTCAAGTACTTAACTAGAAATTGGAATAAGCTTCCAGTATCTTCAAATTGCAACAGCATCTCGTGAATAGTGTAGAAGGAATTTTAATAAATAAATATACCAAAACACTCACCATTAAAGAAAGATAAGCATTCTGGGCACAGAAAAGAGGTATTAAATTCCTTCTCCTTGAAATGAACGTACATGCCATAAGGGGCGTGAAAATCGGAAGGGCAAAGCTCCCATTCGTCATATGCGTCATCTGAAATAATACTGTTTTCTTCATAAATTCCACATCGCTGGCACTTTGTACTCGAGAAGTTAGTCAAAGGCTGGAATTGTGAAGCAAATTTTCGGAAGTTGTTCGAAAGAATAATAACACGCAACTAAATGATTACAAATGCTAACCATATGAATAATGATTAAGTTTCAGGTGACATAGCCAAATTACTCAGAGCTCACTTGTGAACAAACTGATTCTATATGATTACTTAAAAAATAGTTTGTAGATGTGCTAGTTATCTGAGTTCATTTACTATGCTACTACGAATGTTTGCCAATAACACAGACTTTGCATTTGCATTTGCATCTGCATCGTTCCATCCAGGTTTCCAATTATAGATATCACAGCTGCAAGTGAACAGAGTAGTGCCTCTGATATGGGAAAACCATACAACCAAAACATCAGCTTGTGAAATCAGCAAATTGGAGATTGATTTTCTTCAGTTAAGCTCCGGATTAGAACGCTATAAAGATTCTAAACCTGATCAACTACTTTTATTTAAAATAAAAATTTTATGAATCTGTTTCCTCTTGATCCAATGAGTAGTTAGTAGAAGAGCTGCGCCACGCTTCTATGCCCATATCCTATCAAGCAGAATTTTAGAGAGAGAGAGAGAGAGAGAGAGAGCAAAACATGGAACATTGTGATTGCAGGTAGGCCAATTTTGTTATGTTCAGCAGCATTTCACTGCTTGTCTAAATTCTCAACTTTTACACACTTAAGAAATAAGCAATGCAATCAAGAGTAGATAATTAGAAATAGTCATCACGCAGACTAATTACAATATTGGACTATTAGCAGAAGTAAATGTTGCTGGAATGCGTACAGAATAATAAGCAGAAACAATTTTTTAGTCCGGAAAAAAAGAAAAAGAACAAGTAGCATGAGAGAACCTGCCATGATTCTTCACCCTTAAAAGTATACAAAAGATGCGCTTTCTTGACATCAGGCAGTACCGTCTTGTTCTCCTCCTTGCATAGGAAATAAACAGTTGGAGTGACCTTCAGCCAATTATGGGTTTTGAAGATTTCAATCGAATTTAGTGTGACAGATGCAGACAATACAAATCCTGCGCGGTGAAGAGCAGAAGCCACAGCAATTAGATAGCCATTAATTCACTCAGTTTACTCATCTACACTTGGCAGGAGGGCGAAAACAGAGAGACTCCTATATATAATAAGTGGCCAAAAATGATAATGACCAAGAACATTTACAGCTCTCTGCCAAACTCAAACCCCTCTCAGCTGAGAGTCATGTGATTTACCCCTTTTTATTAGTAAGCTTATTGAACATCTAAGAATCTACTTGCATTAAAGACTTATTTGGGAAAAAAAAAACAGAGGAGCTGATTGTTTCCGATGAAAAATTACCGTGAAAATAGCTAAAGAAAATCACAGAGATGAGATGTACACCAGAAACCCTAGAGTTCCGCAGATGCAGAACCGCAACCGACATGGCGGATAACAGATCCCACAGTGATTAATTAATGGCTGACAGCCGAAGGACAAGTTGTTGAGACCCTCGAAATGATCAGGCAATTGGCGGGAATGCTCACTTCTCTCCTCTCCTGAGTCTCCTTCATCGGTAAACGACAAGCTACGTTTCGCGTCGTAGTCAATGCAATAAACAACGAACCAGCTAGGGCGCCTTTCGGAGCTTGCCTTGACCGGGTCACAATGCGACTGATTAGACATTGCTTAATTGGCGGGAAAACGCTGTCGTCCTGCGATCACTGTTCTGAAATCGGGAATGGCTCTCCTCATCCCGTTTAGGCGGATGTTTAGATGAAATCAAAATTACAGTTTTAAAAATATTTTTATAATATATAAAATAAATATGTAAAAAAATTTGTTTCATTTAAAAATATTTTTAGGTGATTCCAAACATTCCAATGCTCTGTCGTTTACTTTAATCCGCCCTTCTGCATCAAACCCGGATGCGTCGAATTTAGTCAGTCCTGTTTATTGTTAAAAAAAGAGCAGCTTTACGATAACTTGCCAGGATCAGACATCAGTCAGAAGTAGCATCTCAAAGACAAGACCAATAAGCAACGGGTTAAAAGTTTTGCTTCCGACTTTTTACACATGTTTGAAGCTCACTGGATTTGACGGAGAATTAGGCGCGCGACAACCTATTGATGGGCATGTCGCATATAGGCGTCGTGTAATGGGAAACGACGGTTATTGGTTAATCATCTAATTAAATTGAGTCTCAAAATATCATATACTCGGGAAACTAATGCTTTATTTGCAATGTTGGTTGAGGAATCACGAGTGTCCTGTCGGATTTTGACTATAGATGGACCAGTGAACCCCCGTAAACCGCGCCGCTATATTTTCTACATTGCATTCATGAAGCACAATGCTCTGTTTTGCTTAACCACATGCAATCTCAAATATATAATCCAAAAACATGGAGTTAAATAAAAATTGGCGTTGAAGAACAACATGGTGAGTTTAGCTAAGGAAGAGAATGGCTAATGCCTAGAATATTTCTCACGAGCCACCCTATCTCTTTCTACCTAGCCGGACCCTGGGCGTCCAGTTCAGAATAACACAATGTATCCAAATCAGCTCATCGCCGCCATATTTATCCTCTTCCTCGCCCACGACGTCTCCGGTCAGCCCTTCCACATACGTAACCGTCACGGTGGTCACCGCCATGGCGGCCATCACCGATACCATTATCGACGTCCTATGCTGCCCAGGCCAGGCGCCCACCAAGGAACACCGGCAACACCAGCAGCGCCGAAAAAACCCGACGCAGTTCCTATTCCGGCATTACCATTTACACCTGTCACGCCTTCTCTTCCAGCCACACCAAAAACCCCCGTCACAATGCCTGCCAAACCACCACCACCACCAACGTCGCTGCCACTCGGAATAATAGGTGAAATATCGGAGCACGCAAAAATGTTCGGATGGGACCCAATGAAGGTGATCAAAGGATGCGGTCCTAGCTGCGACTTGCTCAAATATCTTCACAAGCAAGAATTCCTAATAGCCCACAATTGGGTCAGGCTTTTATTCAAACTGCCATCTTTCACGTGGGACGAGAAGCTCGAGAGTGCCGCAAAACAATACGTGATGCAGCGCTACAAGGACTGCATGGATGTTCACTCGAACCTTCCTTACGGAGAGAACATTTTCTGGGGCCTAAAGCTGCATTGGACGCCGTCGGACGCGGTGTATTCTTGGTTCAATGAGAGCAAATGGTACGATTTCAAGAACCTTCAGTGCACGGCGCCGCCCGGCGAGGATTGTGGGCATTTTACGCAGATTGTGTGGAAGGACTCTGTGCGTTTGGGTTGTGCCCTCCAGCATTGCCAAGATCCCACTAAGGGTATGTTGATCGTCTGCGAGTACGACCCTCCCGGCAACTACGACAACGAGAACCCTTTGGACGATAACAATGCCAAACACCACTCCTAATTCATTTTAGCTTCCTTCCATAACCGCCACACACACACACACAGAGAGATGTATATATGAGTGCGGATATATATGTGGTTGTGCTGCATTGCTACTTCATCCCCCACCCATGCTTTTTTGTATCTTTTTTTATCCGGGGGTTGGTGGCATAATTTACAGAAACATGAACAGAATCAGATTCTTTCTTGGTTTGGAATTGGAGCCTTAACAGAACAAGATTCGCCTTCCATGTTGGTCAATTGGTGATAATGAAAGGTGAATGAAGATTAAAATGGAATGAACATACAATAAATCGATTGTGATTCCCCTGCCATGCCCACCGAGATATTATGCTTGATGGATACGCCTAAACTGAACAGAGCAGGACACTGCATGTACCGTAACAACTACCCCGCGCTCTTTTTCTCCCTGCCTTATTACTTACTTCAGTCAAACGTAACAATATCGATTTGAAAAATGGAAAAGAAAATGCGATAACGTTCTCGTGTCAGATTTTCATCGCGAGAGGGAGAGGGATATAGCAGGGCAAAAGCAGAGCAACAAAATAATCAAAATCAGAATTCTCATTCATCTACAAACAGGGTTCTAATGAATCCTCTTCATCGCTAATTCTTGACCTTTGTTTTTTACGGGGATGAGGGATGCAGCAACATGCATGGTTCAATTTTCAAGTGAGTTTAGGTGGAGTCACTGTGAGAAGACCTTGGTGTCTAACTGGTACGCCTTGGTGAAGAATGCAGGCCAACAGAGGTAGGTAGACATTATACTGCTAATAGTCGATGCACCTATGAGCATATTCATGACCACAATCTGAAGTTGAATGGCCTCTAATGGTGATGCCCCTCCCATAATCATACCAGTCATTGCCCCAGGAAGCGATATTAGACCTACAGTTTTGGCGTTGTCCACTACAGGCGAAAGTGCAATTACCAGAGACCTTTTCACCTGCTGATGCGTAGCTTGTCGTGGGGTCGCACCAAGAGCCAAAGCCGTCTCAACCTGAACAAGAAAGGGAGGGGGGGGGGGGGGGGGGGGGGAACTCGTTTCATTCAGACTTTGAAACTGAATCTTCATAAAGAGTAAAAGGCTTACTGACCAGGTTCATCTGCCCTTGGACGTCGTCTCGGAGTCTTTTCATGGTAACTCCGGTGACAGTCATTGAATTTCCGACCATCATGCCGGCGACGGGGATGATGTATCTGGGAGTGAAAGGGAACACGCTCAGCAACACTAGCAGCAGCATAGTGATTGAGGTTCCTGTGAGAATGGAAGCCCCGGCCACATATTTACCACGAGGGATTTGTCTGGCTCGTTGACCCGCCGTGTAACCAGCAACTATCACCTTCATCACGAATTGATCCATAATTTTACGGTCAATAACGGACGGTATTCATTTTTTTTTCCCCTTTTCTTCTCATCACTCTCACAGATGAAGAATATTAAGTGCTACTGAGTTGACTCGGTGTCCATGAATTATAAGTCATCTTCCATGGAATATTTTGGGAGGAGAAGAATGGATTTAATTTTTCCTGAGCGAGCGACCAGATAGAGAATCTGAGCTAGTTCTGAAATGATCCAAGAATTTTTTTTTTTTTAAATGCTGTTGAGATCTCAAAGTCTGTCTTTTCTAAATATCAGACAATCATTTTTTAAGTTCACGGGGTCAATGTGAACACTGAATTCTGATGGAACATCGGCAGAGATTTAATTTTGAAATGTGCATGCGGTTATCAAAAATCAAAGCAAAAGACATAATTTTAAAAGCTGAATTGAAATACTTATTTTTGAATGGTAAGGGAAGTGATATTTTGAGGTCGAATCATTGGTGGGGACAAAAAATAACAAAGGAATACACGAACGAGCATTTCAAAATGAAAAAGAAGACTCTGGAATTTACCCTCATTTCGTCGGTAAGAAAGATGGGGGGTAAAAGAACAGAACAGGATGAATCTTCGACCCAGAAAGAGATTGAGTTCCTCAAAGACGGCATAGAAGTTTGCCTTGAATGTTTTAATCCAGAAAACTAGAGATTAAAAAAAAAAAAAAAAAGAGGCGTTTCATTGATAAAAGAAGCACCTTCTTGTTGGCGCCGGGGGCAGAGAGAGTGTAAAACAAGGCCATACTTGGATAAGAAGGGATTAGAGACATACCATAAAAAGGTAAGCGAGAAGGATCCATCCGACGTTGTGATGACTGAAGATGAACTGCAAGACAAAGCCAATAACAGAGAGCTGAAGGAAGGCCCTGAACATAGCATAAAGCATCTCTCCCTCCAAACCCAGTTTCTGCAAGAAGGACAAAATGACGGCCAAAAGCACCACCGCAGCAGCGGCCGCCGGCTTCCCCATACCTTTCAGAAACCCAATCAACCATGCTAATCCCCCTTCGCCCCCACCATGAATCGTGTGGTTTGCAGGTATCATCATCCTCATCATACCGTACTACTGAGTTCTAGCCAATATATATATATATATATAAAGCCGTATATCTCAGAAACCACCCTCCCCTGGCTCTGTATCATCTCGTGCAGTCTCAACCAGGTGCCCCACTGAGGCCAAGCCCTGATATTTATTTATTCGTTTTTCATACCACAACAAAGCTTACCTATTAACGTTTTTGCTCAAAAAATTCCGAGGAAAAATTGGAATTTTTGTTAGACACGATAATCTTTTTATTAGATACAATCTTATTTTTATCATATACAATTTTATTTGAAATATTATTGTATACTAAATATGGCCACCCTTCTCAGTAAAAATTCAAACTTTAATTTATTATATTATAAAAAATTAACTTTTTTTTTTACTGAACCCAGTTTATTGATGAAATACCGATGGGAAGTTTTTTTAAACGGTCATTAGCCGAAAAAAATAGGACGTACGTTCGAACACGGAAAAAGTCGGCGACGGGTTACTGGGCCCCGATCCACCCCACTTTAACGGTGAGGTGGCAGTGAGGGAACCCTCTCTTAATTGTCAACTGTGTTGCTTGAGCGTGACAGGCGAACCCGATGTATTTTACTCCGTTTATTTTGATTTTACAAGGACTTCTAGATAAACGGTCATGGGAGATGCTCATCCCAAGGGGTGCGAACGATTTGCCGGGAGGGCATCCTTCAACAGCGCCGCTGGTGGATAACCGTTTGATCAGTGGCAAGTTGCAAGGTGTGAGAGAACAGCATAAATGAGAGCGGATTGTTGTTCATGATTTAAGGTTGATGTGGGATCATAAATACGACATCTCCAATTAATTTAACCTTTCCGTCTTCTGTCTTGCTGTCATGTGAGGTCCATGGTTTTGGTCAATAGCACTGTACGGGCACGCGTCTTGTCGCACGTTACCCGTGGACCGTTTATGAACAAGAGGATTTTTGTTTTATATGCATTATTATTATAGTATTAGTGCACATGTAGATAAGGGATATGCGCCGGGATAACTGCAATTACTCCGCTGGTCAAAACACCTAATTATTGTGATGGTTTTAGTTTTAAATATAAGAATTATTTATTATATTTATTAATTTTCTCTAAATTATCCCTATAGCTACTCTTTCAACCATAATCAAGTAGAAGACGTATTAAGAAAAATGATTATGATACTTTAAGAAAAACATATCACATTTTTTATAATTAACTAACTCATCTAACTTTCTTAATCTAATCAAATTAATTAAATGGGTTTTATATTAAGGATAAGAGAAGTATTTGAAAACAGCATGGCGTCTTGTTTTTTTTTTTTTTGGTCTGAGCAGCCGTTCTTGTTTGTTTCACGGCCTTCTTTATTTCACTCTACAACGCCGGCGAACTACCTTAATTTGGCCGCAGGTAGGCCATTGCTTCAGAAGAGAATTCATGCCACACAAACCATATCTTCAAAGAATCTACCGTTGTGGGCATTGATGGGCATCCACTAAAATTTAGGGATTGTGATTTGAATTTTGTAAAGACAAAAAAGGGATGATTTTAGGGAGGCAGTAAGAACCCATCGCAGCCATTCATTTGTAAAGTCAGAGTTAATCTCTGGCCATCTGTCCCTTTGTTTTGCTAAGTATTCATAATGTTCTCTAAGATGATGAACTGTTTTACCTCGACGATATTTAAAGATCTCCTGGGACCAGTTTTGGGTATTTTCCATCGAATCCAAATTCTGAAACCTACATTTGCGTGGCCCATGGATCTATGCTTTTAGAAGTGACTCGGCTATTGTTTTTATCCTTAAAATCCCCAGGCCTTAAGGCCTGAAGAATCTGTGAGCCACGATGGACGGTTTGATTGGGCTAATTGGGCCGAAGCCCTGGCAGGCTCAGATGCTTCAAACTCGCTGGTGCGGCAGTCTCCTCTTGCCCTCAACTGACCAGCGGCCAGTTCACCTTGTAAGCTCCGAGCTTCTTCCCGCTCGGATCGAAGATGAGTCTTCTGAGAGCCGCACTGAGGTCGAACTCTACTTTTCCCACTCTCCGAGAATGCCATGGCTTCCCACCTCTCCTTCGAGCCACGTCCAGGATTTTCTTTTCATCCGAAGCAGAACAGCCGCCTCAGGATCCACAAGCCGAATCGTTTCTGCGAACTCCTCGCGAAGGTACGCCGTTTGATCCGTTTCCGAAGCCTAATAATGCAAAAAATTATCCTTTATTGGGTATTCAATACGGCAACAGATAAGAGTAATTCGCTATCGACTTTTCAGTATTGACAATTGCACAGGAACCTAAGCAAGGAATTTTGTTAACATATCGCTAATTATGCTGTCACGATATTTTTTTACATTTCTAGTTTCTAATCTTAATCATTTATTCCATCCACGGCCATGATTTTTTTCACTGACAATGAATATGTTGGTAAACCATGCATTCTTTTGAATATATTTGATTAACGGGGATACATGTGTCATTTAGAAACAAAGTATATGCTAGATGCATTTAGCCCACTCTTTACTACTGCTGGCTTCACTATCGCTTTGGCCTTTGATTAATCAGTTGTTCCATCCGCTCTTTTAGCCAAAGTAACAACTCGCTCCTTTCTGTTTCTCTTCTTAGGTTTGGCATATGGTAGGCTGTTGGGCGTTCGTAATTACACGCTGAAAACAGATATAATCCACTTTCTTAAAGGTTGTAATTTGACCACGGAGGATGTCAAAGTGGACTACGGCCGTTACTTTACGCCCCTTGCAATGTAATGCCTTCAGTCTCTCATTTTCCTTGAAGGGAACTGCGAAAGTTTTAACATTTTCGGCACTAACATCGTGATTGACTGCATTTCTCGCTGACGAGTGTCAATAGCATCATTTGTCTGTTTTGCTTTTTTTTTTTTTTTAAAAGAATTCAAAAGATTCACTTTCATACCATGCATCATAAAGGCATGAGCTGATTATTTTCCTAGTTCGTCTCGTGAGCATGTTATTGTTCATATTTAACTGAAATCTCTTGATACATTCTATGGTCAAAAATTACTGGTTGAAGAAAAGATTTTGGCTATCATCAGGATGTTGCAATTCCATTCTTACAATGACTATGATCGGGCTGTAAGACATATTGCAAGGAATGGTCGCTTGTACAGATTGGATAGAGTATGCTGCTTACATTTGTCTATCGCAAAAGATTGATCAATCTTCTTATGTGTATACTTGACTAGTGCTTGATGATATATATAATTGTTTTTTCTTGGTTGTTAGACTGATCGTGCCCAATGGGATGTTGTTACTCCTTATGATGGAAAAACTGTAAGTATAAATTAATTATGTTTTCCTTATTGTTTTTAGGAGTTTGAAGTGCTGGTTATTCTTTCATTATCAAATGTCGACACTCAATGAAGATAGATAGCTTTTTAGTTTTTACCCGTTTTAAGTGAAAGAATTTAGGTCTTTGCATGCATGCATACAAAATAACATCTTGATTGACAAATGATACATTTAAAACATAACTATCTGTTACAAATTATGAAGAATGTCATGGTACCTTTTCAGTTGCAGAACAATGTATGCTTTCTCTCGTATAAAAATAACATAGAAGTTGCATTTTCAAAGTTTTTTTTATCTGATGCTTGTTTTTCTTTTTTCTTTTTTTTTTTTTGGGGGGGGGGGGGGATAATATGTAAGCATTTATGCATGCAATCAGCTAGTTGTCTTGATTTTGGGTGTCGATGGAGTATCTATTTGAAAGGGTTGCAAAGTTTTGAATATGGAATTTCGCCTATAACTGTCATATATGCAAATGACTAGCCAGTTTTTCGCCTTGAAATTTGGTTGTTGAAAGGCTGTGATTTGTTGACTCCAAAGCATGACAATTATCTAACAGCTGCCTGTTTTTGCCAGATTTTGATGCGAGGATTTCCTCGAAATGCACTAATAGATGAAATAGAACGTTTTCTGCATGGTTATGAATATGATCAGACCTCCATCAATATTTTTCTAAGGTTAATGTCAAACTATGTTCTGAATTATAAGTGATGTTCAATATTTAAGATTTTATCCAGATGATGAGTTTCGTGTGCTCACAGACAGGGAGAAACTTTTGGAAATCCCGTTAAAATGGCTACAGTACGTTTCCGTTCAAGGACTGAAGCAATGAGTGCGTTTATCACAAAGAATAAGACGTTTTGCCTTAACAGCCCAATTTCGATTATGGTTCTCCAGTAGCGAGTCTATGCCACTCCCTCGCGTTACTGTCACAGCTGGAGCGTTGCTTTCAGACAGAGAAGACGACTAATCTCACAGCCTAGTTTTATTTGTATTGCTTTTTGTGGTCTTAGTTTTTGTGTCAGAAATAGGGGGTGACCTCAGCAATTTGGCCTGGCCATCCTAAATTCTCATGTTTATTTTGGCTGCATTGCTTCTCTGTTCTTTTCTCCCCCCAAGGACGAAGTTTATTCCATTTCCCCCCTTTATCTATATAATTAATATGATTATTATATCATCTACAATTCTGTCTCATCGTAGTGACATATCGACAACTGGTGAATTCGTTGGATATGTGTGGGAGGATCTTCTTCTGGCAATTCTCCTTCGTAACTCTCCAGCTGCCCGTGAAAATGTGGTAAGATGATAAATATGTGATATAACTCTGGTAGGACTCTCCATTGGTGATTTTCCTCCGAGATGACTGTACTGGTGCATTGAAATAGGCTCTCTTCTCTGATTACTTCCAAGATATCTTAATGAGGAGCTCGGGGGAATAAAAATAACAAACATGATTCTATAGTATACACTAGGTCCTGCAACTAGGATGAAAAGCAAAAATTCGCTCCACTTTGTATGCACATCGTTTCTCAACTTCCATGGATCCCAAAGGAAAAATGTAATCCGTTAAAGCATTAGCAGATCAAGGCATCTGTTGCAAGAAATCTTGGAACTTGCAGAAGCATACTAGCTCGAGCAGGGTTGTCAACGTTGCTCGGATAATCTTCTAATTCTGCCTGCGCGACATGTTCAAACATTGAATCATGGTAACAATAGTCTCCTACTCTCCTAAAGCAGATCAAGTGCCCGCCTACAGTTCAATTTTCTATTTGCTTTTTGTACGATTTTCTGTCTGAGGCGTTAGAGGGTAAACTTGTCCCACAATTAAGCCTGGACTCAGTGCTTAAAAGGTTTGCAACATCAAACAGAGGTGTATTATCAGTATTGTTATCCTTACAAAATATCATCTCGGTTCTAAATATAAAAACTAATTTGTAATGTAGATTATATTACTCCTCCGGTCCTTATTATAAGACTCATTTGACTTTTATTTGGTCCTAATTATAAGACCCAATCCATTTTCTCTCTTATATTTATGCATTTTTTCCAAGATAATCCTTCTAATAATGATAGTTTTAGCCAATATACTTAATTAGCAAGGATATTTTAGGAATGACAACACTTATTTATTATAAATAACCAACTTAACTTACTTCCTTAATCTCCTCAAATAAGTCAATGGGTCTTATAATAGGACCGCAGGAGTAATATATTTAGACCAAAGGTAGTACTAAACTATATCAAGTGTGCGTGCAACGAGAGTATCCTCTACACGAAACAGGAAGAGAGATGCAAATCTATCGTAGCATAATCGTGTTCGTCCATTTCAAGACACTCCGCAACTTCCTCCTCAAAACAAGTTTAGAATGTTACATAGGCCAATAGACCGAGGCAGCGAAGTCAAAATCTGGTATGTCAAGTTGCGCCAACTCTGGCAACGTGCTTGACGAAGTTCAAGCTTGATCCTGTGTTAACAGCAAGACCTGAAAGTGCGCGTATAAGATCCAATCCTGGACATCATTTTATTTTTGCAATCTGCTGAGGATGAACCATTAGGAATGTTCTGGAGTTTCCTTTGTTAGAGCCAGTTGTAATGTACTTCGTATAAAAGTTAGTTTGACATTCAATTTGGTTTTAAATATAAGTTCCTAATTCATTTTGTTTTTCACATTTTTTTTTTTCAAAATAGTCTTTATAATAGTTGCGTATGTTAAAGATTTTATCAAATAATAGTTTTAGCTAATATATATGATTAGTAAAGATATTCTTAAAAAAAATAACATATATTTATTATAAATAATTAATTTAAAATTTTTAATCTATTTAAATTAGTTATTTCTACAAACGACCGGAGGTTGTAATATAATAGTATCAACTTGGACCAGTAATTATAATCGGGACTCTGTTTTCTTTGTACTACGTACATTTGCCTGCCTTGCCTTTTCACATCTCGAAATTGGAGAGTTTACCTGCTGCTAAAGCATACAATATCACTCAAAATATCGTTGCTTTTGTACTTTTCAGTATGAGCCCATGATCAGAGCTCGCTTTGCGCCCGCAATGCCGTAAATCTCCATTATAGGGGAATGAATGCCCACGAGGCGTTATTTTATAGTCATTGACCATGCTGGTATAATCACAGTACATTGAGAATAAGGCTGCGAGATTGTAGATGAGAAGGCCAATATATGTACAACACACACACACACTTTTATTTTGTCGGACGCGTTAATTACATTATCGTTTTCATTTATATTGTCGGCGACAAGAGGAAGAAGCCATATTGGTGGAGCCATGTCGTTTTCATTGATGAACACAGCCAAAAGCAAATTAGCTCGGGGGGATATGTGCTTGAACTGGACATTTTACCTGTCGACAAAATTTCTCCATCTTTTTCTTGGTGTCATCAGCTGGAATGTTTTGCTTACTTATTACAGAATGCTCGCCATGTCCATGCATCGACCTGATATGCATGGTGATTGGGTTGATTATCTTCCAACGTAAATATAGAATTATATGTAGTAGTTAAGCATGTTAATGATTTAAAATATGGTACTCTGGTAGCTAGGAAATATGATGAGTATATATATCACGATGGATGGAGACCGTACGTAGTAAATATAAATTCCTCTTTCGATTGTCATCATAATCGCTTCTATATAATGATTAAGCAGCTAGTGGACAGAAATGACTGGTTATTAGTCTTGACCATTGACTATCTTCCAATAATAGCACAACTTATAAAAAGCAAATTAAAAAGAATGCTAGATACATGTGTATCTTTCCAATCATGACCACTGATTTTTTTTCTTCGCTAAACTTCTGAGAAAATGAGTCAATTAAAATGATCTCAAAAGGAATCTGAAACTGAAACTCCAATTAAAAAAATAGTAACTTTAGTATGTAATTTACTCATCTGATCCTAAAATGTAAAACCCTTATACACACTAGTATAAAGGTTTTACATTTAGGACTGGAGGAGTAATTTATTCTGATCTAACAAGAGGATTTTGCTATCATCAACAAGAGTCTGACATATATCTTGACATCTCATATTATATCTAGGTTATCGGAAATGGCACTGTTTTCTATAAATCTTATATTTTATATAGAGTGCAATTTGTGTGCCGATAAAGGTTAGTTTAATTAATAAGGAGTCGACTTATAACTCATAATCTCATAATATAAAATGATATGAACAATTATTCCGCACTTTTAATTTCTAATTAAACAACGGGAAATAGTTAGAGCAAAAAAGATTAAACAGCCATCCTATGGGCTCATTTGGATTGGAGATTATAAGTATTTATTAATACATTTTATGTAATTCAAGATAATTTTTTTTTTACATATTTTTTTTGTAATCTATAAATCATAATTAAAAAACTACTTATATACTATTTCAAATAAGTCTTATATCTTTTCTCACTATAAAAAAAAAACTAAAGGACAAAGAAACAATTATTTTATAAAAAAAAAGACACAGAAGAAAAATCAGTGTACAGCACAGTTGCAAAGTTCCATGTTGGATCCAAGTCCATAAAAAGGCACAGATCGGTCCTCAAAGACTCAACTGCATCGAAAGAGAAGCACATGATCCCATAATGGAAGAAAGAGCAACCATCTTAGCAGCAATCTCCACCCTCCCTCCTTCCCAACTCTCCCACCTCTCCCTCTCCCTCCTCTCAGCCACTCACCTCCACCGCCTTCGCCTCTCCTCCGTCCTCTCCTCCCCTTCTCTCTTCTCCGCCACCCTCCGCCACCTACACTCTATCTCCCTCCCCGAAAAGTACCTCCTCATCGCTCGCCACCTCCTCTTCTCTCTCCACCGGATCACCACCCACTTCCTCTCCGACCTCACCATCCCATCTCCGCCTTCGCCGCCTATGTCCACCGCCATTCGACAGAGAGACCTGAACGCCGTCCTCCTCCTCCTCTTTTTCTGCGAGACCCACCAACACAACCCCACAGTCCTGGAGGAGAATTATTCGGATTGGAGGCTCAGCTTATGTAATATTTTCTCTGATAAGTTGCTGACAGCTGCTTATTCTCCCGTTGGGGCGAGTACTTGGACGGCTCTGGCTCCTTACGTTGATATGGTGAGTCGGAGCTGGAGACTTGTGAAGATAAGTTGCGGCGGGGGGAAGAAGGGGGCGTCGCCGGAGACGATGGCGGGACTTCCGGGCGTAGAAGTGAAGGAAGGCGGAAGGGAGTGTGTAATATGTAAAGAGGAGATGAAGGTGGGGAAGGACGTGTGCGAATTACCATGCGAGCATGGGTTTCATTGGATGTGTATATTGCCGTGGCTGAAGAACAACGACACGTGTCCTTGCTGTCGCTACCGATTGCCGTCCGATGATGTCTTCGGCGAGATCCAACGGTTAATGGATATGTTGATTAAATTGAGCGGGCGGCAAAGCCTGGTTTAGTCATGAGTGCGTCCAACCTTCACACCATACGTGCACAAGTCCATACGAGGAAGACTGAATGATGTGGACACGGTCAATGTGAAAAGCTTTTTTTCCCCTATTTTGTTGTTAGCCAGAGTATCCTCCTACTTAAACGGTAAGAAACTAATCTGTCAGAGTACTGTCAAGCACCGTGATGACAACTCCTCTTAACAATTTTTTTTTTCATACACACCATCCTAAAGATCAAACTCAGAATATGATATTTAAAATGTTTAAATGCTTTTTATTTGGACTAATACTTTTTTTTTCCCCCTCCTTTTTCATAAATTCGTTATATTTATCACGAGTATTGGCAAGAGGCGTCCAACTTAGGTTGATGAGTAGGCTAGGTCCAGGCCCAGGTTTAATGTGGATCTGTGTCTAAGTAGGTCTAACAATATTTAAGCCCTCACTTAATAATTATCTACGGATCTAGCAGTCTTTGGGCCCATAATTTCATGAAACATGTATTCTATCCCTCGTCCATGTATCTATCAAGTATCAGTGACATAATTTAAATCCAACATTTATGGGGGAAAAAAATTATCTGTGAGTAGAGAATGATATAAAATAGGAATAATTTGGACCCTCCCTAAAAACGGAGGTCCACAATGAAATTTCAAAGATATGGTAGTAGGACCATCACCGGGTCGGGGCGCCAGGAAGAAGAGCATGAAATAAGGGCGCATGAGAAGGTGGGCATCTAATGATTCCGTTTGCGTCCCGAGAAGAGGATGACACCTGTCAAAACGCCATCAACTGACGTGCCAATTAAAGGGCCGCTATCTACTGCTCTGTTCTAATTATATGACTATAAATGAAATTTTATAATTAAAATTAAAAGTAATATTTGCCAACACGTGGAGCGCTCCAAAAGCTGGGAGCGGCTAACTATTTACAGCATTTTATAATCGCCTTGTTGTTGAAGTAATTATGGAGTGTATGAATTAGACGTTGAAGCCGTTAATTACATCACAAATCATAAAAACGGGGACCATGCTTAAAGCTTCTGAATAAGCAGCTATTACTAAATCAGTGACCACTCCTTTTGCTTTGAGTGCACTTCAATCCCTGTTCCCTCTCCCTCCTACTATCCGGACATGAACCCAGTTTAACCCATCATTCCATGTTTTCGTTGAAACATGTTTGAATTGCCCTGTGAATAAAATCACAGGAGTATGCAAAATAAATACTCGATCTAATCGATTATTATTTTATGCAGTTGATAATGATACACTCTTCTAATTCTTAATGTAAGACTTAATTAGCTAATTTAAGTAAATTAATGATGTCAGTTAAATTAGCTAATGTCATGTTTTTTTTTCCTAAAATACTATGATCATTTTTTTTAATTTCCTTTCTCTATTTCTTACATGATTATTGCTGAGAGACTATCGATAGAGTTAGTTTAAAAAAATTGATAAACATAGAAAATAAATTTTGCATATAAAACCAATATCAGCTTTCAAATTAGACACCATATTATTGACCAGAGGAGTAGAGAGTCGGGTTTTATCGGTTGTTTATGAGTAACGGAGATAAACGGGAGGTGATTAAATGATTAGCAAATAAAAGCCAAATCCTTTCCATCGACAGTTATGAACGAAGAAATAAACAGGCATTCAGTATGCATGCTTCTTTGAATAATAATTGCTGGATGGGATGTGAATAGAGATAGAGAGTTAAAATTATTAAACTCAAAACTCATTTGAATTGGATTTTTCTCATTTTGAAAATTCTCACATGGCAGTTTTTAATTAAAGTCCACATGAAGTTCCTTCCAATTTTCCACTGTGATGGGTAACTTAACGGGTTGAAAACAAGTACTCTAGCAATCTGTCCATATATTCAAAAATACAGTCTTAGAAGACATAACAAATCGGTAAATAAAATTTTAAAAAAATTGCTTTTCACAACATAACCTTAAAGATATAGTCTTCTGGTCCTTAATATAAAACCTAATTATGGAATTAATTTTAGTCCTAAATATAAGACATATTCTTATATCTATCAATTTTTCTCAAATCACCCATATTGATACTTCCTCAACAATAATCAAGTATGGGAGGGAGGGAGGATATAATGAAAATGATTAAAGTATTTTAAGAAAAACATGTTATATTTACTCCTCCGGTCCTTAATATAGGACCCAATTCTTGAATTGATTTTGGTCCTAAATATAAGACCCATTTCTCATATTTATTAATTTTCTCTAAATTACCCATATGGATATTCCCTCAATCATAATCAAGTAGAAGAGGGAGAGGGGGTATTAAGAAAGATGATTACGGTGTTTTAAGAAAAATGTGTCACTTTTCTTATAATTAACTAACTTACCTAACTTTCTTAGTCTAATCAAATTAGTTAAATGGGTTTTATATTAAGGATCAGATGAGTATTATAGTTAACTGATTTACCTAGCTTCTTTAATCTAATCAAATTAGTTAAATATGTCTTATATTAAAGATCAAAAGAGTATTATTTTGACAATGTCATTGTTAATACCCAAGCAATCCTCATACGCGTTCGAAGAATGAGACGACACCTGGGTAACTTGGGATTTATTGGCCTTTACGCCTTCTAAAGAAACAACAATTGCTTTACGCAAACTCTTGGCCCTTGGGTTTTTGGATTTATATTTATAATTAATATAATTATTTAAAAAAACATTCAAGGGAGTATGGCTTTTGTAAGCTTTGTGTTTTCGTCAAACTTTATTGAGTTGAAAGGATGTTTAAAATGGAAATTAATACACTATACTCAACAAAAGATCTGTAGAGAGAAGTAACAATAATCATGACCAACAAATTAAGATGCAAACAATGCGGCCTTCGGTGGGTACAAAACGTTATCATTGGTTTGATTTGATGCGCAAAAGAGCAAATAAAATAATTATAAAATTTTCTATAAAAATTAGTGTTGTGTTTCTATTTTAAAAATAATCAAAAGATATTCTTTTAAATTTAGATAAATATGAAAAATGTAAGAACTAGGCCAATATATATATGCTACTTCTAATTCTTAATATAAGAGTTAATTAGAAGTTTAATTTGATTCTAAATATAAGATCTCAATCTACTTTATATCTCATATTTATTTATTTATTTTCAAAGTAATCCTTATAGTAGTTGTATATGTTAAATGTTTAATCTACTTTTAGCCAATATATGATTAGTAAAGGTATTTTAGAAAAGACAACACTTAATTATTATTATTATTATAAATAACTAACTCAACAAAATTTTTTTAATTTACTCAAGTTAATCAACTACTTATTATATTAAGTATCAGAGATAGTATTATGCAGACTATCTTTGATGATCGATGTTAGAAACTTTTATGTTCTTAAATATGAGGCCCCCCCGAAAAAAAAAAAGGTCCTTACTAATCGTGCTGTAAATAAATATTCACTCCGTTTCATTGTATTCGTCCTTTGAAAGTTAATTATAAAGAGTGAGGAATGCAATAAATATATAAAAATATGATATACTATTATGAAGCCTGCTTCTCATTTTATTTCGAACAGTGTTTAATTAATACCCAAAAACCATTATTGTACTCCCAGGATAAAACAGAAAAAATAACATTAAATTTTGCATTCAAATTGAGAAATAAAGGCTCATGTGAAACAAATTTTTTATTCTAGCCACCTAGTCAGAATTAAGGAAAGATTTTTAAGCGTAAATTTATGATTTTTACCCATATTTAAATGAAATTTTTTAAAATTTGCTTTCCCATTCTGCCTAATAATTAATGACTTTAAATAAAAATAATGTTAAATAATATAATTAATACCTTATCAAATCAAGAAGTGTTCTGCATAACGTAGTTATTATGAGCTCAGTGTATACCTTATTAAAAATACCATGTCTTACTTCTCTGCCTTCGTTTCAACACACAAACTTCAGTAAATAATGCACAATAAGGGGGGGGGGGGAACTCGAGATGATTATTACTGTGCAAATAGAAAAGCTGCGTCAGATTCTAGTAGAAGTTGTCGGGATGTGGATATTTATAACTCTCACCCTCGCTCTGACGCTCACACACTTCAAAATCACCTGCTATTTTCCTGTGAGTATTATTCCAAGTTCTCCTTCGGTTTTCAAATTCCCAAAGATAGCGTCTTTTCTTTCTTTCATTTAATTTGAACGCGGGCTCTCCAAATTAGACTAACGAGAATTCACATTTCTGGGTCTGAAGTCTGAATTGATCCGAGCGAACCCACTCACAACATTTGCGTGCGAAGCCCAAAGATGAGCCCTTGCTGCGACCGAAGCACGGAGAATCAGCTCACCCTAGCTAATGCCGACAAGGAGGATCCAAAATCGAGGTGGCTTTTTCTTAATATATATTTTGTTTCTTCTTCTCTCGTTCTGCATTGTGAAATCTGAAATGGGTTGTCCATGAAGATGGAATCACATTGTTGCATGGGTTATTTCAGGGGCAAGAAAATGGAGAGAGATGAGGGTTTGAACACCGTGGTGCGGTGCCTGAGAGGAAGATTGCTCGCTGAAAGGCAAGCCTCTAGAGTTGCTAATGAGGAAGCAGAGTCTATGGGCAACAAGGTGCTCTGTCACTTTCGGTGAAATTTTTAATCGATTGTGTTTCATGAGTCACATTGTGAAGCTTTTAGCCTGGCAAAACTTTATTCCATGTCTTTATTTCTATATCCTTAAAAAATGAAAATTTCTTGGTGGGGTTTTTGGGTGCTGCACAGTTGGTGGAGCTGGAAAAGAAACTCAGAGATGAGATCGAATTAAGAGAGAAAGCGGAGAAAAGGCTCAAAAAGCTGAAAAAGAAGCTTCAGTCCCTCAAGTTATTCTCTATATCAGAAGAATCAGTGCAATTATCTTCGCCGGAGAAATCTGAAAGTTCTTGTTGGAGATCGCCTGCAAGTAGCTCTGCTTCTAGAGACTCAGAGGCGAGTGGAACCAAGACTCGTACAACAGACTCATATTGGTTGGAGAACGCAATGCACAGTGTTTCAGAACCCTCAGCCTCCATGACACATGGCTATGATGACTCTCAGGGTTCTGATAACTCCACTAGTAATTCAAATTCAGATTGTTCTTCCCCCAAGAACTCAATTTCTCAGGATTTGAAGCATGATGAAAGCAGGTATCCGATTTCAACATGTAGAGTCATAGCACTTACTGAAACAATCTTATCTCCTAACTGCTATTCTTTAAGCTGGCTGATTCTTTTTCCCTGTCCTGTATTCAAGTTCGACCTCAAGATCATCTTCAAAAGATTCCAGTTCTCAAGATTTGAAGAACGACGAATGCAGGTGTGTTGTATTTGATACATGGGGAGAGAGTTACTTGTTCTGAGCAGTTTGTGTCTGTGAAGCCAGGTTTCAAATTTTGATACTGGGATTTTGCTTCAGGCTGTCAGGATTAAGCTCAAAATCCTCAGTGACCGAGTACGAGGATGATGACAGAGATTTCATCGACAACTCTCTGGCACTAGTTCCAGTGAACTTTCCAATAACAAACACAGAGGCAAGAAAAGTAAAGCCAGTTCATGAAAGTGTGGTTGAAGCTCTAGATGCATTAAGGCACGCGAGGGAAAAGCTACTATGCTCAATGGGAACAAGGCACATGATTCAAGTTGGCCCTACCTAAGTTATCACACTGATATCTTAATTATTATAGTAATTATGCTGAGCTTATTTTTCTAGTCACGTTGATGTATGATGGAAAATGAGATTAGTTAGCCCTGGAATTGGAGCAAGAAAGAGTAAAGTTGATACGATGACTGGCCTTAGCTGGAAGGTAAAGTTTCTTTTGGGTGTGTCACTTGTCACACATGTCATGTGATGTAGGGATTTGCTGTCAGGCTGAGGTTTGAGCTAAGGGGGGGGGGGTTCCGATCATTCTGTTGACAGTAAAAGGGTCTGAGTTGTGGAATGAGGTCCCTTGATTCTCGTGACTTTCGCAACCATTATGATTTTTTTTTTCTTTCGAGTTTCATGGCGAGTTTAGGTTGGATCTTGTTATCTCACAAGGGCAGGCCTGATCTGTGACTTGATCTATCTGCTGTATCAGTATCACCTGGGTGTCTTATCAAAGGACAACTATGTTACTAATTTGAAGTCAGAATAATTGATAGACATGTAGGAGCAAGAATGAACGTTATTGACAAGTCAAGATAATGGACAATCATCCCTAATTATCCGCTAATTTTTTTTCTTTTGGCAGTCAAAAAGAGTGTGCCCTGTTCTTTTTCATCGTTGAAAGTAAAAGATCAGAGAGTCCATCTTTCTGGTCTACATTCGGCAAGTTGAGACTTGAAAGAAGCTTCTCCGTTTTACGCATTTCAGGCCCGCACAATAATAGTTCTCCCTCTAACAGTGAAGCCTTATCCCCCACCCACCAAAAGAAAAAAAAACTTGAATTCTTTCATGAACCAACAGACACTACAACATTTGGTATTGATTTTTGAATGACTGATAATGCTAGGAAAACAGTTTAATATAAAATATAAAATCGTATCTAATCAGGTTTCAACTCTTAAATGATTGATCAAAAGCTCCCCAGTCTCACAAGCAGGAGTATATGTTTATTATTAAACACTTAAACCACTCTATTTTATGTATCCGAAAGCGTCATCTCTGATTCAACTATACATGCAGCCCATTTATTATGAATGCAATTTCATATATATATGGTCAAAAGAGGAGAGAGAAGGTGATGAAACTGAATCTGCAACAAAACGCCTTAACTTGATCGAATTGTAGTTCAATTTTAGTACGTGTGTGTTAAGTGAGGTGGAGTTGTATGGGAGGGTCGCCTCATGGCAAGACAACAGAGCCAAACAATTCCCTAAACAAATGCTAGAAAAACGGCAACATAATTCAGAAATCAATGAGAGAAAACCAAGTTTGCAACGTTGGAAAAGGAATCACAAAACCATGTTGCTGTCTTAATATTACAGAATTCACGAATTATTGCAAGTTCCAAGAAGGTGTGTGGATACGTGTACCACATGTTTTTGTGTCTGCACAGCCTCAAATTTTTTTCTCTCCCTCGTGACCCTTCGCCATCAGAAAGCTCCACTTTATTACACCAGCCACAGCACAAAACTATTCACGACATAGCAGCTCCCAATTCCAACTCCTAAACAAACCTTAAAAAATTTCAAATTCAAGCTTCGAACAAAACAATTAAGTAATATGGCCAGATTGGTGAGTCATTTTGCGTGTTCCTGCCAGATCCATCTTCTTTCATATAACTACAGTATTACCGTACAGGGGTTGGGATTTCCATGGCGTTTCTAAATTACTACTACTTTGCTATTGCTTTGTTTCATTTTAGGGGTTTTCATATTCTTGTTAATTTTTGTAAGGTGCAAAAGTGAAAAACAAAAACGTGAGTAATGCTTTGACTTTAAAATCTATCAGGCCCCTACATTTGTTTCCACAAAACAGTTAGGTGATTATGAATCAAGAAAGTGAAATAACAAGGAAAATAAGCCGGCCACAGTAACATTGAAATTTTATAATATACTTTAATGTAGATATTTACATAAAATATATTTATTATTATTTCGACAAGAATCAAGCCTACATTGAAGTTCTTCTCAATAATTAAAGCTGATACGAGGAGAAATCTGAATAGAACTTGTATTGCTATAAGATGAATAGCATATGTAGCGACGATAAGAGGGCGTGAAAACGTGCCTGTCACGAACTGTGAAAATAGTAAAAGTTACGAATGATCACGAAAGATAAACCAAGAAAAATATGATGCAAACCCAGAAAAGAGTTCCCTAAAACAAAGGATGACAGCTTTAAAAGGTGATGGAACTGAAAGTCTCAGCCAAGGGAATGGAAGACTCGCAGAAACCCACTTGGCCACACGAGCATCGAAATCATTCACAAGGGAGACAAATAAATGGACAAGAATAACAATGTCAGACTCTCTACTTCAAATCTCTCTCCATTTCCTCTTCTTGGATCTCTCTTTCTGACACTTCTCTGAAGACGAACATCATCTGCCAAGAACCCCCACACACTTCTCCTATCCCATTGCTCCCTTTCATCCCTTAGATCTTCGACCATCTCTGCCATATTGAGTCTTCGTCTTCTCTTCCAGCTAGCTCCGTTCTCCACATACCCCACACCTCTTACCCACTGAACCCATTCAGCTCAGGTTCAAGGCACACACGACAGAGTATCACCACTCCATATCGATATTCTCTGTACTTACATGCTAACTTTGTGAATCTCAGTTACTTCAGTCCATACCCATTTGTTCCTTTTCTGATGGGTATATAGCTTTATGATCTGAGGTCGTGTCCGTAGGTGATAAATGCCAAGGAGAGAACAGATAAATTTTTCTTAGATTGACGAATTGCCTGAAGAAATGGTCAAGTCATGCTGGAAACCATCTGTGGAAGGTGAAGATGGAGAAGGGAGTGGGAAGGTTGATGGATTGCTATGGCACAAGGATTTAGGCAATCATCTGTATGGGGATTTCTCAATGGCCGTAGTTCAGGCCAATAGTTCATTGGAGGATCGAAGTCAGCTCGAATCTGGACCCTTCACTTGCAATAATGATAATATGGGTCCTCAAGGCACCGTCATAGGTGTCTACGACGGTCATGGTGGCTACGAGGCCTCCCAGTTCGTCACCGACAATCTCTTCTCTAATCTCAAGAGTATGCTCTCATCTTCATTATCAGACCTATTTGGTTGTTTTTTTTTTTAAAAAAATATTTCTAATTAGCACTAATTTTGCTGTTTGATCCAGGACTTGCAGGCGAAGAAGGAGGCATGGCAGAGAGTGTTATAAAGAAGGCGTATCGAGCAACAGACGAAGGATTTCTGTCTATGGTGAAGAGAAAGTGGATGAGCAAGCCAGAGATTGCTTCCACAGGGACGTGTTGCTTAGTGGGGATAATCTGTAATGGGATGATATATATAGCAAATTCTGGAGACTCCCGAGCGGTGCTGGGAAGAATGGAGAGGGCAACGAAAGGTAGTAGCTATTCAACTATCCGCAGAACACAACGTTAACATAGAAACAGTAAGAGATGAAGTTCGATCAAAGCACCCCTTTGATTCACAAATTGTGGTCCTGAAACATCAAGTTTGGCGCGTCAAAGGCCTCATTCAGGTACGCCAAGAAAACAATATCGACAACACAGAACAAAACAGTGCTCAAATCCCATGTTTAAATACAAGTTATGTTTTTGCAGGTTTCGAGATCCATAGGTGATGCATATCTGAAAAAGGCAGAATTTAACAGAGAGCCTCTGCCATTGAGGTTTAGATTGGCGGAATCCTTCTTCAAGCCTATTCTCAGCTGTGAGCCGTCAATAGCAACGCAGAAACTCCATCCTGACGATCACTTTCTCATATTTGCTTCGGACGGTTTGTGGGAGCACCTTAGCAACCAAGAAGCCGTTAACATGGTCAATAATAACCCACGTAATGTAAGCTTCCAAATGTACTGGGTCATGTTTTTATGTGTGTGTTTATTTCAGAGTTTTGTGTTCGGAATGAACAGTGAGAGGCGTGTTTATGGAACAGGGAATAGCGAGGAGGCTGGTAAAGGCAGCCATGAAAGAGGCAGCAAAGAAGAGGGAAATGAAACTGGCAGACCTGGAAAAGATCGAAGCAGGTGCGAGGAGGCACTTCCACGATGACATAACAGTAGTGGTTGTGTTTCTAAACCCAAAACTCACTGATAATAACTCTCCATGGGGCTCTCCTCTTTCAATCAAAGCAGGCTGGCCTGCCAATCCATAGTCCAAAAGCTTCCCTCGAATCCCTCTTTGAGAATTGTTGTACAAAGCAGATATATAGATCGTTTCCTTTCGCATCGCACTCCCATAATTGCAGCATCTCATTCAAGCTAAGCTACCTAAGGGGACTTAGTGTTGATCGGTGATCATACTTATATAATAACAATTTTAGCCTATTTGTGTCTGCAGATCCTAAATGAAGCAAATACCAGTGCACCCTAGCGAATTTTAAATGCATCTTTATATAGGCATGGGACACGGATATCAGGAAATATTAAACACTGGTCACGCGCGCACGTTAAATACTACCCATGAAGTGCATGATTGGAGTAGATTTTGCACTCCCCACTCTCACTTGCGATATCAAATCAATAATGCCATTCATAGGCCATGAACAATGCGACTAATTTCATACTTCACATAGAAAATGCGTCTAATTTTACCCCCTTTCTCTTCTTTTCGTTTTAAACATTCATTGCAGAGTTCAGACGCAGATGTCAAAATCTGGTCTTGATGCGTGTAAAAAGAACTACAGTTTGAGTCGCTTGTTAATGTATTTCTTTGGCTTGGCTCAAGTGGAATTGAGTTGACGTAAATAAAAAAAATATAATTAATCTAAAACAATATTTACATCAATTTTTTATCATTCTGTTAAATTTTTTAATCATACATGATCATACGTCCTATTTTTAAAATATTAACATTTAGTGACAAATCCACATGAAACAAAGAGAGACAGAGGCGATGGCGTTATAAATCATGTGTGATAAAAAATTTCACATAATAGATATAAAAAACTCAAGTTTTTTTTTCTTTAATTTAATACTTTGATAGTCACATTAATTCAAGAGTATACCATCAAAATATGTTCACCTAAAAATTGATAAAACTTGACTAATATATTTAAGGCCAAAATATACAAAAGCTCCCTGAACTTTTAACCAGTTGCGCATTACCTCCTTGATCTTTAAAAGTCTAAATCAAGGATCCTAACATTTCATGTTTTGATCATAAATTTTCTTGCGGTTAAAATTACCATTCACCTTGACGGTTCAACCATGTCACTATTTTTTATATATTT